GGCATGCAGGAGAATTAAACATGACCTCGTTCTTTTTTTTTTTAAGATTTTATTTATTTATTTGACAGACAGAGATCACAAGTAGGCAGAGAGAGAGAGAGAAGCAGGCTCTCTGCTGAGCAGAGAGCCCAATGCAGGGCTCGATCCCAGGACCCTGAGATCATGACCTGAGCCGAAGGCAGAGGCTTTAACCCACTGAGCCACCCAGGCACCCCCATGACCTCGTTCTTATACCACACACAAAAATAAACTTGAAATGGATTAAAAACCTAAATGTGAGGCTTGAAGCCATAGAGCTCCTAAAGGAAAATGTAAGCAGTACATTTTTGGACATCAGCCTTAGCAACATATTTATGACTCTGTTTCCTCAGGCAAGGGAAACAAAAGCAAAAGTAAATGACTGGGACTACATGAAAATAAAAGACTTTTTCATAGCAAATAAAATTAAAACACAAAACAAAAAGACCAAGTGAAGATATTTGCAAATTATATATCCAACAAGGAATTAAGGAATTAATATCCAAAATATATAAGGAACTTATACAACTTGGAGTCCAGGAAGACAGCAGCAGAGTAGGGTGACCATAGGCTTACTTCATCCTGTGAATACAACTAGATAACTATCAAATCATCCTAAATATCCCAGAAATCAACCTGAAGACGTACAGAACAAACTCCACAACTAAAGGGAGAGAAGAGACCACATTGAAGAAGGTAGGGAGTACAGAGATGTTGTTTGGGAGAGAAACAGATCATGGTCACTGCAGTGGGTAGGGAGCCACAGTTGCAAAGAATGGCAAGGGACAAACTGACATATTGGGGAATGCAAAGAGAAAATGCATCCCCCTTAGCAACTGGCTTAGAAAGTGAGAGAAGCAAAATTTTGTGAGTTCTTGCAACCAGCAGGGCTTAAAGCCTAGAGTTCTAAAGGTCATCAGGCTTGCTCAGAGAGAGCCCAGAGGCATTGGAGCTGCTTTTGGAGAGAAGGCAGGGCAAACAACCTGCAGACATACAGTGTGGAAACAGAAATCTGAAAAGTACCTAGGGCAAAAAGCAGGAAGGTTGTTTGCTCATCTCAGATCATGTTCTAGAGAGGTAGCATTAATGGAGATACCCCTCCAGGAACAAAGGAACTGGCAGGCACCACTCCCCTTCCCCGCCCCTCAGCAGAAACACAGATCCACCTGCAGGAATCAGGGAAGAATGGACACTCACTACCTAAGTTGCTTACACCAAGACCCAACCTTCGTGCTCTGGTGGAACACCCTTCCTAGTCACGCTTGCCTTAATCCCAGCATGGAGGGCTCCCTCCCCCAGATAGACCAGCCCAAACCCCTGCCCACACCATGTCTCCTGACCCAGGAATTTAGCAGGACCTAAGTTCCAGCAGCAATAGTTTCAGGTCTTATTTAACAAGTAGACAAAGCACATGTAGTTAAGACCCACCGCATTCAGGCCAGGGACCAAACATTGCCCACAACAGGCAAGGAAATCTGCAGATGACGGCCCTGAAGGGTAAAGCAGCCAAGACACAACTGCTGAACACACACAGCACACACTGGAGACACTCCCTGTAGTTCTAGGCCCTGGGAAACAGGAAACACTACAGTGTAGGGTACAAGTCCTCTTTTTAAGGCCATTACTGTCCACAACAGGAAAAGTAGCTGACTTTCCTAACACAAAGAAGCAGGCACAGAGACTTAAACAAAATGAGAAGAGAGATGAATTTGTCCCAAATGAAAGAACAGGACAAGGTCATGGCCAGAGATCTAAGTGAAACAAATATAATGTGCCTGATAGAGAATTTAAAGTAATGAACATAAGGATACTCTGGACTTGAGAAAAGAGTGAAAGACATGAGTTTGACTCTTAACACAGAGATAAGGGATAACATAACAGAGATAAAGGGCTCAATAAACAAAATGAGAAACACACTTGTTAGAATGAACAGGCTGGAAGAAGCAGAGGAATGAACTAATGACCTAGAAGACAGAGTAGTGGAAAGTAATCAAGCTGAAAAAGAGAAAATTATGAATTACAAGAATAGACTTAGGGAATTCAGTGACTCCACCAAACATAATAACATTTACATCATAGGAGTCCCAGAGGAAGAGAGAGAAAGGAGGGCAGAAAATATATTTGAAGAGATAATAGCTGAAAACTTCCCTAATGGGGAAGTAAACAGATATCCAGATCCAGGAGGCACAGAGACGCCCATGAAAATCAATAAAAGCAGATCCACCCAAGACATACTAGAATTGTAATGGCAAAATATGGTGACAAAGAAAACAATTTTAAAGCTGCAAGATAAGTTTCTTCAACAAATGATGTTGGGAAAGAAGTGAGAGACCTGAACTCTGTTGGCAGGAATGTAAATCGATGCAGCCACTACAGAAAACGGTAAAGAGTTTCCTCAGAAAATTAAAAATAGAAATAACATATAATCCAGTAATTCTACTACTGGGTATTTACCCAAAGTAAATGAACACACAGACTCAAAAACTCCTATGTTTATTGCAGCATTACTTACAGTAGCCAAGATATGAAAGCAGCCCAAATGTCCATCAACAGATGATATGGAATATTATTACTCAGCCAGCCAGAAGAAAAATTAGATCTTGCAATTTGTGACACTGATGGACCTAGAAGGTATAAATGCTAAGTGAAATAAGTCAGACAAAGAAAGATAAATGCCATTTGTTTTCCCTTACATGTGGAATCTTAAAAGTAAATGAATAAACAGATAAAAAGCAGAATCAGAGCTATAAATACAGAAAACAAGGTGAGAGTTGCCAGAGAGGAAAGGGGTAGAGAGATGGGCAGTATGGGTGAAGGAGAGTGGCTTCCTTTTTGAAATGAATAAATCATGGGGGTAAAAGATACAGCATAGGGAATATAGTCAATAATATTATAATAGCAATGTATGCGGACAGATGGTAGCTACACTTGTGATGAGTATAACATATAGAGTTGTTGAATAGCTGTTATACACCTGAGTTAAAAATAAGATTCACTGAAAAAAAGTGAAATAAAGCTAGTTTTGTTTAAAAAATAAATTTTTCCTTTTTTCTTCCCCCTTTTATGTATGTATGCATGTATGCACGCATTTATATACGTACAACGAGTTGGTTCCCGGTAAACCCAACAGAAGTTTAAAAAAAAAATTCTAACTTCCCTTTCCCTCTTTTCAGTTGTTGATTTAAGTCACACTTTCTCCAGGAAGTTTGGGTTTGTTGGTTTTTTTTTCTCAAATAGCCAATATAATTCCTTGTCTCCCCTCTTTGATACTTTTGTATCCAACCGAACGGTCTTTTCAAGTAGAGTTGTTTCCTTATTTACCTTGCACGCTTGGTGAAGACTGGTTGCTTGTGATAATCTGATTTCCTCAAAACCTGCTTTGAAGGGTGATGTGACAGTGCTGAATCTTTAGGCAGCTGAAATGGTCAGAACCTTGTCCAGGGCTAGCACAGCTGGTCTGTGAGTGCAGTGTCGCTGCACTCTCTGTGACCCCACTGCTCTGCCCTGCGGAGGTGGCTGGCTCGCTGGCTGGTAGCTGGCTGATGCGGCTGGGCCTTTCTTCATAAAGCCTTCCTCCAATAGCTTTGTTTCTGGTCAAAGAGGTGGCCCTGCTTATGTTGAGTTGTTCCATCTTTGTAGTATTTGCACAGCTGTGCTTCCTTGCCAGAACCCCCATGCACATTATCAAGGACTCTCAATGCCATTAAACACATAAAGGATAAGCAGCAAAGACAAAGGCTGAGAGGAAGAAAAAGGAGGAGCAACGAGGATAAAACAATGGGGACTGATGACCTTCGGTGCGGCAAGTTGCTGAACCCAACCTAAAACATCCCACGCACATAATAATACCTACTGTTACACGTGAAATTTAACAGGGAAGTTACGAAAATAAAATTCTTTTGCAAGGGAAGGCCACACAGACATTTGTTTTCAAGGGACCTATGCCTGCCTCTGATAGAGCCTGCTCTTACAGGTAAAGATCATTCTAGGCTTGTTGTAAAATTAAAATGAGATGATAAATGGAAATAACCAGGTTTTATGGGTTATAAAACAATATACAAATGCTTGGTGTTCTTTTTGTAAGCTCCTGAGGACACTGACAATGGTTTAATGTTCAATAGTATCTTCATGGGAGTTTGGAAGAGATTTTAAACACCTGCATCTAAAGAAAATCAAATCCACCTACAGAATGAAGAGAATTGGGTCCCCAGGAGGGGAAAACGTGTGGAAGATACCTAAATTGTGTGTGTCTGGGGAGTGGTTGTCACCTAACCATGTAACAAAAGCCTTGGGTTTTCCCATTGAGTATCCTCAATTGATAAGAATTGTTTTCTTAAGAAGTAATTTCCAAGAAAACGCCTGTGATTTCATTGTCAGTGAAACTGTTGACACTTCTTTTTGAAGTGTCTGTTAACTTATAGTCAATTACAACAGGAGTGCATGTGGTACCCACATGAATGTATTTTGGTCACACTGCTTTAATAACTAACAATTAAAATCACAATAAGTGACTCCAAAGTCTGCTGCTGCTGCTGCTGCTGTTCCTTCTGTGAAAATGACCCTCTTTTCCATTTAGCTTCAATGCAGGAGACTTCATACCAGTTCTTCACCTGAATGCGTGACTCTTCAATCTCAGGACTCGCAGAATTAATGGAATGCCGTCCTAAGGTTGTTGAGTTCTGCGTTTATGGGCATTTCATCTCTACCAAGAAGTACCCATTCCCTCACTGCAAAGATGGAGACTGAAAGAGTTTTCTGTGGAAAAATCTTTCTTGTAACGTTCTTGTTACAACAGTCAAAAAACAGAAACAGACTGGAGAGGTCTGATAATTGGGAGATACCTTGCCAATGACCTGACCCTTGGTGTGGGGCTCCCTCAAAATCTGCAGTGTCTTCGGAGTTTCTCCTATGACTGTCTTGGAGAATAAACACTTTATGTTAATTTCCAGGGACTTAATTTTCCATTTTCTTTTTTAACAGGTCCAGTTAAAAACAAGAAAAAGGGTAAGTTAAGCTCCTGATTTTATAAAATTGTTCGTGTCTTTTCTAAAATTAGAAGGAAAAAAAACCAAGGGAGTAATATTTTTATATATTCTTTCAATGTTGGTTGTCCATTGTTTTAGTCAATCACCTGTGTCCTCCTTGAGTATGGTAGCTTCCATGAAACAAGAAGTAGAGATTATTTTTCAGTGATGATTCATGAAATTGCTTCTCTAGCAGTATATGAAAGTTGTTTTTATTATTCTTTCTTGCTCCCTCTTTTATACAATTAAACTTACATCTCTTTCCTTCATTCTTCCTTACTCTTTTTCCTTTCTTTACCCTCCTTTATGGAATCAATAATCACGTATAAATTAAGTCCTAAGACAGCTTGTGGGGACTAGGTATACCACCTCCCCGAGAGACGTCAGTACCCCGTTCTTGGCCTTAAAGCTATCCCTATCCTATGCCTTAGATAGTCAGAGAAAGTATTTCTCACTTTGGGGTTTCAATATCATTTTCTCTGTGATGGGAAAAGGAAAGCTGGAGGAATACCCTGATCTTTTGGTCCTTTCAAAGAAGCTTCTGGTTGAGCAGATCCATTGTGCCACTGTTGGGTCAGTATGTTTCTAATATACTTGCAACAAGACTGGCCCAAGAGCTTGTACAAGCACTTGCATACTTGAATAGGAGAACCCAAAAAAAACAGAACAAGTTCCAAAAGACAGAATTAAGCTATATGGTCCACTCCTTAGGACTAAAAAAAGAAACCAAATACAAAACCAGTTTTAAGTAACTATTTCTGTGTTCTGACCTGGAAAGAAAATAAAGTGAAATTATAAAACACTTTAAGTAGGGGCACCTGGGTGTCTCAGTTGGTTAAGTGTCTGCCTCTGGCTCAAGTCATGATCCTGGGGTCCTACTCAGTGGGGAGTCTGCTTCTCCCTCAGCCCCTTCCCTATGCTCCTGCTCTCTCACTCTCAAATAAGTAAATCAAATCCTTTAAAAAATAAAAAATCAGGGCACCTGGGTGGCTCAGTCATTAAGCATCTGCTTTTGGCTCAGGTCTTGATCCCAGGGTCCTGAGATTGAGTCCCACATTGGGCTCCTTGCTCAGCAGGGAGCCTGCTTTTCCCCTGTCTGCCATTCCCCATGCTTGTGCTTGCTCTCTCCCTCTCTCTCCTTTTTTCTCTCTCTCCCTCTCTCTCTCTCTGTCAAATAAATAAATATATTTTAAAAATAAAAAGTAAAATGCTTTAAGTAAAATGATTCTGTTAAGATTTCTGGAGCTTTATAGAGTAGATTATCAGTCCCAGAGTAGACCAAAAGACTGGCTTCAGCTGCAGCCTGCTCCTTCTCTGAGCACGAGGGTACTCTGGTGGTTCACAGTACCATAGCCTACATGGAAAACCTGTGTCCCTGTTGTAAAGAAGCTGAGGATTGGCCTGGCCTCCTGAGGACCTGATCCGAGCAAAGTTGGAAAACAGCCAGAGAGCTGGGGTCAATGAGGAAAACTTTCTCCATTGGGCCTGGCCATTAACCAAGATATTATGTATTTACAAAAGTACATTTGATTTTTTCAGCATGTTTTTTTCTAGTAGCTTTTTTCTAGTTTTTTCTAGTAGCTTATTTTTTAGAGCAGTTTTAGGTTCACAACAAAATTGAGGGAAAAGTACAGAGCATTCCCATATATTTCCTGCCCCACACAGGGACAGCCTCCCCCACCAGATTATGTACTACCAGAGTAGTACATTTGTTATAACTGAGGAGCCTCCATTGATATATCATCATCACTCAAAGTACATAGTTAACATTAGGCTTCATCTTGGTACTGTACATTCTAGGGGTTTTGACAAATGTATAGTGACATAGATTCCCATAGATTACAGTATTTACAGAATAGTTTCACTTCCCTAAAAATCCTCTCTGCTTTGCCTATTCATCATTGCCTCCCCCTAACCCTTGGCAACCACTGATCTTTCTCTTTTTTTTTTCTTTAAAGACTTTATTTATTTATTTGTCAGAGAGAGAGAGAGTGAGCACAAGCAGGGGGAGTGGCAGGCAGAGGGAGAAGCAGGATCCTCACTGAGCAAGGAGCCTGATGTGGGACTCAGTCCCAGGACCCAGGGATCTTGACCTGAGCAGAAGACAGATGCTTAACAGACTGAGCCACCCAGGCATCCCACCACTGACCTTTCTATTGTCTTTTTAGTTTTGCCTTTTCCCAAGTCAGTATGTAGCCTTTTGAGATTGGCTTCTTTTACTTAGTAATATGCATTTAAGTTCCTCCATGTCTTTTCATGGCTCAATAGATCATTTCTTTTTCTTTTTTTTCTTTTTTTAAGTTTTTATTTTAATTCCAGTTAGTTAACATCCAGTGTTATATTAGTTTCAGGTGTACAATGTAGTGATTCAACAGTTCCACACATCACCCAGTGCTCATCATGACAAGTGCCCTCCTTTATCCACATCACCTATTTCACCCAGCCTCCCCACACCTCCCCTCTGGTAACCAACAATTTGTTGATTATAGTTAAGAGTCTGTTTCTTGGTTTCTCTCTCTCTCTCTCTCTCTCTCTTCCCATTTGGTTATTTGGTTGTGTTTTTTTTTTCTTAAACTTCACATACATGTGAAATCATATGGTATTTGTCTTTATCTGACTGATTTCACTTAGCATAATACTCTCCACCTCCATCCATGTCATTGCAATGGATGCATTTCTATGGCTGAGCAATATTCCATTGCATATATATGCCAAATTTTATTTCTCGACTCATCAGCCAGTGGCCACATGGCCTATTTCAATAATTTGGCCAGTATAGATACTGCTGCTATAAACATCAGGGTGCATGTATTCCTTTGAATTAGCATTTTTGTATCCTTTGGCAAATATCTAGTAGTACAATTGCTGAATTGTAGGACAGTTCTATTTTTCACTTTTTGAGGAAACCTCACACTGTTTTCCAGAGTGGTTGCACCAGTTTGCATTCCACCAACAGTGCAAGAGGGTTCACTTTTCTCCACATCCTCGCCAGCCAACACCTGTTGTTTCTTGTGTTGTGATGTTAGCCGTTCTGACAGGAGTGAGGTGATATCTCATTACATTTTGATTTACATTTCCTGATAGTAAGTGATGTTGAGCATCTTTTCATGAGTCTTTTGGCCATCTGTATGTCTTCTTTGGGAACTGTCTATTCATGTCTTCTGCCCATTTTTTTAATTGGACTATTTGTTTTGAGGGTATTGCCTTTGAAAAGTTCTTTATAGATTTTTGGATACTAACCATTTATCAGATTTGTCATTTGTAAATATCTTCTCCCATTCTGTAGGTTGTCTTTTAGTTTTGTGATTGTTTCCTTTGCTTTATAAAAGCAGAAGGATTTTTATTATAAAGTGTATTTTTCTTGTTTGTTTCCCTTGCCTCAGGAGACATATCTAGAGAGATGTCGCTATGGCCAATGTCAAGAAGTTACTCCCTATGTTCTCTTCCACGATTTTTATGGTTTCAGGTCTCAAATTTAAGTCTTTAATCCATTTTGAAATTATTTTTCTGTATGGTGAAAGAAAGTCATCCAGTTTCATTCTTAGGCATGTCACTGTCCAGTTTTCCCAACACCATTTGTTGAAGAGACTTTTTCTAACTGGATATTTTTTCCTGCTTTGTCAAAGATTAATTGACCATATAATTGTGGGTTCATTTCTGGGTTTTCTACTATGTTCTGTTGATCTATGTGTCTGTTTTTGTGCCAGTACCATCCTGTTTTGATTACTCTATCAAGCATGTACTTTTTAACTTTTGTCACATCCCCTTTAAAATGGAAATTGTAATAAACCTAGAAAGCTCACCTGGCTTTGACAAGGACACCCTCTGCTCCTAAACAAGTCCAAGGGTGACTTTCCCTTCTTAATAGGTAGACTTGGGAACACTCTCTAATTACAGCTACTAGTTTTTTCTTTTCACTCATTCACTGGACCATGAATAAGCACCTTATATTTGTCAGGAATAGAGATACCAAGATAAAGAAAAATGGTGCCTGCCCTCAAAAATCTCCCAGTGTAGCTGGAATAGTGGAAGTACACACAAATAATTACAGTATGGTATCAAAAATGCTCTCATTGAAGCATGAACAGTGTGCTGTGGGAGCACAAAGAAAGAGCAAGTAGTTCTCCCTGGGGGAGTGAGGAGCCACATCTCAGGGAAAAAAAAAAGAAACAGCATTTAACCTGGGCTTTGAAGGATGGGGGCAAATGGAGGGGGAAAGGCATTCCAGCAAAGGGAAGAGCATACTCAGATCCCTCAGAAGTGTGAAAGAACATGGCCTGTTTGGGGCAACAGCAAGTAGGCTAGCGATGTACCGAAGTGTAGGTCATATGTGTGGTGGGGAATGGCAACCAGTTGTAGGGTCATCCAATGAGTGAGCACTGAGAGAACATACTTGCTAGTGACAATAGAAGACAATTGCCTAGGCTAGAAGCCCTATTATTACAATTCTGAGAATCCAATGCCTCTGGCAGGGACTCGGATCACTGCCCAGCACTGCCACCTTGTATATGGGCCATTATTAGAAGGAGAATGCACATAGGCCTTAAACATTTCCTTTGACTGAAAGTGATTTAGAAGCCATTTAATACAGATTTCCTTGGACACAGTGAATAGGCACATGCCTGAAGAGGTAAATTGAGTTGTTCATTTAATTTCCATCTTTAATAGAATTTTCCCCTCCTACAACTAACTTGCTAATGTTCATTCCCTCTCCCTCTCTCCCTCGCCCTCCCTCCACCCTCACTTTCATTCACTTGTTTTTATTTGTTCTTTCAATAGTTTGGCCTTCACTAAAAGGTTAGTGAAGTTTAGCTTGGAAAAGAATGTGAACATTCTGTCATCTAAGACTGCACTGGAGAATTTTCTAAGTAGAGAAGTCTCTGGGCTTTTGTATCATGAAGTGTTCTGGCAACATCAGGAAATCTGGAGAAGGAATTCAATCCTCTAAAGTCAACCTCTTGTCCAGGGGTCATTTTGTACCTGTTCCTCTCTGGGCCAACTTTCTTTTTTTTTTTTAAGATTTTATTTATTTTATTTGACAGACAGAGATCACAAGTAGGCAGAGAGGCAGGCAGAGAGAGAGGAAGGGAAGCAGGCTCCCCGCTGAGCAGAGAGCCCGATGTGGGGCTCGATCCCAGGACCCTGGGATCATGACCTGGGCCGAAGGCAGAGGCTTTAAACCACTGAGCCACCCAGGTGCCCCTGGGCCAACTTTCTGTAAGGATGCAAGTATGAGAAGTACACTTCCCTAAACCTAGTTACAGAGGAGCAAAGAGGACCAGTTGCAGAACAGGAACTTTTTCCCAAATGTCCTCTAACATTTTCATAAGTGAAAATCCTCTGTTTTCACTGCAACCATTATTCTTTTTGACTAGAGAAGTTTCTGGCTGTGATTATTCCAGAATTACATTAGCAATCACAGGAGAGTCACAGTCTTGACACTGAAGTTTGTCCTACCCACAGAACACCCTCCAGTTTCAAAGTCAGTTAGGCCTGGAAATTCTGGGACATAGAACAGTCTAATATGCACCTTTCTCTGTGTCTGTGCCAGTAGACACAGAGGAAGAAGAGGGAGAATAGAGAATAAGGAGGGAGAAGCAGACCTTACAATCAGGCTAGGGAAGTTTCCTGACTGCCAGGAGTAAGTCAGCCTTCCTTACGGTACCTCAGCCTTGGGAGGAAACTTAGAGAAATCATCAAGGCCAAACTCCTCATTTCACCAGTGAGAAACTAAGGCTCAGGGAGAGAAAGGAATTTGCCCAAAGTGCATCTGTGGCAGGGCTGGGGCTTTGAGCCTTATCTCCTGACTACAGATTTTGTGTTCCTTCCACTGCACTAGCTGGAATTGAAACTTGGGTGCTGAATAAGCCTGACTTGGAAGCTGCCCAAATCTGAAGGGAGATGGCTTTCCTGTTCAGCATCTTGAAATTGGCTAATCTAGAAACTGGGCAGATCCAATCTTTTGCGGCTGCTACGTGCAGGGAAAATAAGAAAGCTCCCTCCTGCCTCTAGGGCTCTAAGGCTACAGGGAGTCTCCCCAGGGCAGGAGCCTCACAGTGACCCCGTTGTTTCATACCAAATGCAGAAGTCATTAGACATGGACAACTGGCCTCTTGAATGGCATTGCCATTGAGTTTCTGGAACACAAGGCATTATTTTTAAAGGTGGGCCTGATAAATCAGGACAGGATTCTCCTAAGAGCCTGGGGAGCAAGAAGTCAGAGTTGTTAAGGAGGTGTTTCAATGAGACTTAAGAGGGTTGTATTTAGAACTCAGACAGTACCACAGGTGGAAATACTGTCGCGGAGTCTGGTCAAACCCGTCTGTTCCTGGGATTTCCACAAATTGTGAGAAAGTAGTGAAAGGTAAAAGACACCCCCCTCGGGGTCACCAGTCGTGCATGAATTGGGCTGCACAGAGCAGAGGAAGTAAACAGGAGCTGTGGGTTTTGGTACAAGACCACAGTTATGACTCTGTCAAATAGCTACATCCTAGTGGGAATGTTGGAAGGACTGGAATATGGAATAGAAGGGCCGGGATCGTTCTGAAAGGATAGCGAGGAGAGAAAGGGAAGGAGCTGGTGGGCTTAATTAATAATATGTTGGAAAATAGGGCCTCAGAGGAAAGATGCTGGAAAGCCAGATTATTTAGCCTATTAAAAATAAGAGGTTGACAGGTGACTTAATGTCTGTAAGCATATGAGGGTTATTATGTGTTTGATGGTAACTATTCTTCTCTATCTACACAAAGAATAAAATAAAAGCTCAAATTGCCACAGGAGGGATTTCAGCTAAATATACAGAAGAACTTCCTAACAGTGAGGGGGTGATAACCACAGGAACATGTTACCAGGGGAGTTTACAGAATTGCCTTTCCCAGAGATCTTTTAAAATAGGGTTTAGAGAGGTCAGCTGAAAAAGCAAAAACTGCCAGCTGCCTCCTCGGCTTTTTCTACTCTGTTTCCCCTTCTTTCCTTCTCTATCTCCCCCTCCCTCCCTCTCCCCCATCCCCTCCCTCTCATCTCCCAAATTCCTTCCCGATCCTCATTCCCAGCTACCACCACCTCTATACCAACCCCTAGTTCCTGTACATCCCAACTTCTGTAGGAAACCTTCCTGGTGTTGATATTATTCCCAAGGTCAGGGCTGTCCTCCTAGCTCCCTCTTCTCATTGCATCAAGTCCTCCAAACCGGGCAGCAAACATGAAAGCCCACTCTTCAACGGTAGCCCAATTCTCCATTCAAAAAGGTGACCTGGTCACTTGGTAATTCTAATTTTTTGGACTCATCTGAAAGGTAACCTCCTTTATGAAACCTTCTCTGACCTCTTAAGCATTTGTCCCTACTACTAATATGGTACTTAGACTCTCCTGTGACTGTGTCTGTGTCTGTTTCCCCAGTAGACTGAGCTCCTTCAGGGTCATTTATTTCTGTATCTTCAAACCATCTCTGTAAATAATTATTCATGAAAGGGGATAGGGAGTGTGTGTGTGTGTGTGTGTGTGTGTGTGTGTGTGTGTGTGTGTTGTATAATAAAGTGTTCACCTTTTTAGCAGCAGGAATTCCCAAAGGGCTGACTTTGTGTCCTTGGAAGTCTGTAGAAGTCCTGACAGTATATTTGTTTTGAGTCAATAACTACAAATGTAACACTGAATCTTGTCTTTTAGGAAAGAAGGCAGGACCTCCTGGGCCCAATGGCCCTCCGGGACCTCCAGGACCCCCAGGACCCCAGGGACCCCCAGGGATTCCAGGAATTCCTGGAATTCCAGGAACAACTGTGATGGGACCACCTGGCCCTCCAGGTCCCCCTGGTCCTCAGGGACCCCCTGGCCTACAGGGACCTTCTGGTGAGTGCCTCTGCCTCTCCACCTGCCCCTTGGCTCCTTGCAAGTACTTGAAAAGAGCAGGTGTGGACTATCCTGAAGGCACTTTCCAGCGGTGGTGATGGCTTTGGTGAACAAGAAGAACAGGTCTCCTATCTCAGTGGAGAGCTAGGACTTGAACAAGCCAGTAGCGCCTGACCTTCTCTAACTCTGCCTGCTCTTGACCTTTCCATTACAAGCCCTCCCTGACTCTAGGCTTCCCTGTAGTGAGCCAGGAAACTCCCATAAGCCAGAACCAGAGGCCCCAAGTATTTATACTAGATTTCCAGTGGGGGATGAATTTGGTCTGCTCTGATTTCCAGCATGTAGCACCAAATATTTATGTCTGATTGGAAACAGGCTATGAAGAGGAATGTTGGGGACTGGAAGAAATGACAAGCCCTAGAACAGTCTCATCCCATGAACTCTGAAGGGCCTTTCCCGTAGAGGTCACTGGTGACCAGGGAGTTAGAAACTTACAAGTCACCGGGGCTGGGGAAGAAGCAAACCCTGTCTCTAAGACTGAGGAGCCAAGTGCCTGTTCAAATAGCATCAAATCTCTTTGTGTCATTCCTCTTGGGTCCAGAAGGGCATCCGGAAGGTAGAGATGCCAATCCAAACCCACCTAATTGGAACTGACAGGAGTCATACTGCCAGGGCTTGGGTCAGTTGTTATTTCCTCCTGCTGCACCCCTCTTGTTTCTTGGGGCTTTAAGGAAATTGGCTCTTTACACAGCTGATTTCGCTGGGTCCGAAAATTCTGTAGCAGGACTCAGATTCTTTGACTCAGAGTTCAAATGGGGTTAATCAGCATTACCATGACCATAAGAGATGGAGTTAGAGGTTTTTGGTTGGTTTCTTTTGGTTTTTGTATCCCAGTCTTTCTACAGATACTGAGCACCTTCTGTGTGCAAGAGATATATTGATAAGTGGGCCCCATTCTCACGGAGTTTAGGTCCCAGGGGAGGAGAGAGGCAGTTAAGGAAGCAAGATATTTACAACGGCAATGCTTTCTATGAGGACCCTGAAAGAAAGGGAGCAAAAGACTAAAGAAGCAAAGGGCACCGTCTCGGGGTCACGGGGTCACTTGGTGGCAGGAATGCACTGTCCTCTGTCTCTACCAGTGCTCAGTGAGGCTTGCCTTGGAGCCAGCGTTAACCAGAGTCCACTTTCCCTGCTGGACGCTGGGCCCACTAAGGAGGCAGGTCAGGGAGGAGGAAGAGAAGGGAGTGGTATCCTCTCCCATCCCAGGGCCTGGCTGCCCAGAGTAGGGGTTCACTGCCACTCGCTGCCTAGCTGAGGAGAGAGAAAAGGAAGGAGCATGCCCTCTGATTGTCCTGTCCTATTTTGCAGGAGCTGCTGATAAAGCTGGACCTCGAGAAAACCAGGTTGGCTGGGAATTGCTCTCTTCCTGGGGAGGAGGGAAGACCATAAGGCTAGAACCATGTTCCAGTGGCTCCCTGTTAAGTTTGTGAAGATGCCCTTGAGGGGGTTCCCAAAGTTGTTCACTCACAGCCCCCTCCCATCCCAAGAAATAGAAAAGCTTTGCCCCACGGCCTGCCTTTAACTCAGCCTTTCCATGGCCATTTCTCCCCACCTCCCCGCACAGAAGACAGAAGGTCATCATATCCAAGCGCAGTCATACCCTGAAATGAGCTGCCAGTCAGGCCTATCCACCCAAGCCTCCAACCTCCCACCCACACCAGATACCTTGTGGGCACTCAGACCACGGGGGGGATCAGGAGCTTGAAAATCAGCCAACCAGCTCCAGGCCAAACACAGCCTGGGCTTCTGCCTTAAAGGCCTGAAGGGCTCCTCCCTTGTCTTTGAGCTTCCTAATCTGTCTGTATTGGCAAGTTGTGCTGCCTTGCCTTGGCTCATCCCAGCCGCCTTCACTCACCACAGCTGTTTGGCCACAATTATAAATCTACATGGCGGCACAGTGCTTGATAGCTTGCAGGGAACTGTAGATCTGTCACCTCATTTGATCTTCAGACATCCCTGTAAGAGAGGCAGAGATTCTTAAAATCCCCATTTCACAGTTACGGAAATGAGACTTGGGGTGGGGGTGAGAGGATTCCGTTCCGCTGAGGTCACCTAGCCAGGAAGGGGCGGAGCTGCAAATCACATGACCCACCAGCAGAGATGTGCTCCCTGGCCTCCCAGGACGGGAGAAAGGGATCCGAATTGGGAAATGAAAGGACACTGGAAGTCAGAGGTGGGAACACGTTGACTGGTGGCTAAGCAGGCAGCCATTTCTCTCAGTGACGACTCTCTCTGTCCTTATCCTCCCAGCCAGCTGTGGTGCATCTACAGGGCCAAGGGTCAGCAATTCAAGTCAAGAATGGTAAGAGTCAAAGTCAGCTCTTTCCCTAAGAGGAGCTTCTCCTGTCTTCCTTACTCGCAGCCTTCAAAGAATCATCAGCCTAGGTCCTCCGTGGGCCCTTGGAAGTAACCTGGGCGGTTGGGGGGCGGGGGCGGGGGGGTGCGCATTCGCTACTCCGTCTGCCCTCTGCTGGCTGTCCTGGGTAATTGCTCGCACCTAGACTGGTCGCTACACACAAATTGCATTTAGAATCACTGATGAGGAAGCGGAAAGCGACTTGAGACATCACGGAGGTGGGGAATTCTTGGCAGATGGAGGTGGTATCAGAGTCACCAAGGGGACATGTACAGTTTGATCAACATCTTCACAATACATGCTAGAGAAGGTAAAACCACAGAAAAGTAAATTGTTGTCTGATGGGTCTCCGCAGAAAACAGGTGGAGGGAGCATTTCCCGGGGTTGGGGGAGGGAGGAAGCATGCCAGACTCTCCTGGGAGTATGAGATGCTAGTATCTGTAAGAAGAGGAAACAGGTTTAAGGGGCTTAAGAAAACTGACTTAATGTAATCCCTACATTAAAAGATGGGGAACCAGAGTCCCAGTGAGAATGGATAATACCTTAAGAAATCATATTGCTGGGGCGCCTGGGTGGCTCAGTGGGTTAAAGCCTCTGCCTTCGGCTCAGGTCATGATCCCAGGGTCCTGGGATCAAGCCCCACATCAGGCTCTCTGCTCAGCGGGGAGCCTGCTTCCCTTCCTCTCTGCCTGCCTCTCTGTCTACTTGTGATCTCTGTCTGTCAAGTAAATAAATAAAATCTTTAAAAAATTGTATAAAAAAATCATACTGCCTTATATTTGGATGGTCCTTTGGAGTTTTCAGCATGCATTCTTTTGTCTTTCTTTTTTAAAGATTATATTTATTTGAGAGAGAGAGAGAGATAGCACAGGAACAGGAAGGAGGGACTGAGGAAGAGGGAGAAGCAGGCTCCCCGCTGAGCAGGTAGCCTGATCCCAGGACCCTGGGATCATGACCCTAGCCAAAGGCAGCCACTTAACTGACTGAGCCACCCAAGCGCCCTTTGTCTTTCATTTCCTGTGCTCCTCACAGCAACCCTGTGCTGCAGGTATTAGTTCCTTTTTTGCAGAGACAGAAACTGAAGCTCAGAGAAGTTAATTCCTTGGCCCAAGAGTTCAGTTAAGTGTAGGAGCTGGATTCAAAACTAGGTCTGTCTGAGTCTTTCCACGGTGCTGGGCGCCTTCAGTGATGTGCATACACTCCACTGAATGATTAGGTTCATTTTCTCCCCCAAAGAGACATGAACATTCATTAAAGAACAGCACTTCGAAATAATATCCAGTCCCCAGGGTGCACATAGCCTAAAATGCCTGACCTCCCCACCACCCCACCCCCGCCGCCCCTGCCCCAGGACCCTTAGGAAGCAGCAAGCCAGCCAGGATGCCAGATGCTTAAGGAGCCTGGAGAGGAAGGGAGGGGCTCCAAGTGCAGAAACAGTGAATGAAGGTTAGGAAACCTGCTGCATGGGGACAGCTCCTAAGAGTCCAGTCTGCCCTGAACCGGCTATGCTGAGCTGCCCTAATGATCAGGCTTAGCCACAGCCTGGACTGCCACCTGGATGCCTGAAATTTAATCGCCTCCAAAGTAGAAGGAGGAACAGAGCAGTAGCAAAAACCAGAGTCCTGCTGGGACCAGGTGCCTTGGGTCCTGGGGCCCTGGATGGGCCATAATCACCATCTGTCCAGGGAGGAGTGAGACAGGCAGGAAATAGATTCGTCTGGGTGGATGGGTGGCCTCCATGCTCAGTCTATGCCCGAAGCTGTGGATTTTGCTCCCACTACCATGCAACAAGACCAGCTCCAACCCTGTGGGCCAATCCCTAATCGTAGTTTATGCTGATCTTAAGTTGCAGTGAAAGCAGAAGGGAGGGAGGAGGGGTGGAAGTACACCAAGCAGAGCAGTCACCTGGAGGGGCTGCACCAGGGCATCTCTTCCTAACTCCTGTCCCACCCACTGTCACCTCAAGGAAAGATGACCACCTATTCCAGAAGGCCAGTTTCCTCACACCTCTGAGAGGCAGGCCTCCTGAGACTAGCGAAAGATGAACATTCACAACATAATTCCTTGGGTGAGGAAGGGAAGGTTTTGAGAGGGAACAGTCCCCTGGGCTTAGACCCTCTCCTCCAGTGGTGGAAGGAGGGAACATCCCTCCTTCTGCAGGATTGAAAGGGAAGCTTTTCCTCCACCTTCCCATACTGGCTCTCATTGTCCAGCAAAGGTGGTAGGATAACCCCTCTTCCCCCAATGGGGTTGGGCTGGCAGATGCTTTACCAGAGGTAACTCAGCTCCCAGATACCCTTACTGGTTCTAGTGCTGCTGGATGGTCTATCCCTCACTCTCATAAAGTTTCCCCTCTCCTGTGGGGCCTTAGGACGGGTGGCCGGCCACTCATTCCAGCTGCCATGAAGTCTGACTCACCCCTGATCACCAAGGTTCTCTAGGTAGACAGTTCCTTGGGCTGAGTGGTTTCCTGCATGGGGCAGGGAAGCCTTCCAGAAGGGAGCGGGCATGAAGGAACTGTAAAAAGGAATCTTTAAAGGAGAAATAAAAAACTCATGAATCTGAGAGCCAGAGGAGGGATTCAGGAGCTAGGGCTAGAGAAATAGAATGGAATAATAAGACCTAGCCTGCCACTCAGTGTCTGAATGTTGCCTGCGCAGGCCCCAGAACAACAAAGAAAATAGGGCAGCATGCCCACTCTCTTCTTGCCTTCACCCCTAATTCCAGCTGCAAAGTGTTGGTTAAAGACCCTTCTAGATGGAGCGGTCAGGAAAGGAGGGAGGGAGGCAGACAAGGCCCCCCAGGGGCCTGAGGCAGGCCTGGCAGCTGCTCGACAAACAGAATGCTTTATCTGCTTCCACACGCTGTTCTGAAAGCAAACAGCTTGGCCTCTGGGGCTGTCCACCTTGCACTGGGATCTGGGTGGGGGTGGGGAGGGGTGCTGCTCCCTGTCTCTTGTTTCTGTTGCCCGGATTCTTCGGACATGTACTGAGTGACTGCCCTTCTCTCATACTGAGATCTTTCAGGTGGAGTGCTCAATGACTGGTCTCGCATCACCATGAACCCCAAGGTGTTTAAGCTACATCCCCGCAGCGGGGAGCTGGAGGTACTGGTGGACGGCACCTACTTCATCTATAGTCAGGTAGAAGTGAGTACGGTCTCAGGCCTAACTCTTCTTATATCCAGAATGCAGATCCGGTACAGGCCACATAGGGGCACTGTGGAGCCAGCCAAGACCTGCTAACTTCCCGCTCTCTAGGGAGACTGGGGTGGGGGCACTACGCGGAGAGGCAGTTGAAAAGGGGAAAGAGAGAAGGGCCCGTTTTGGTTGAGGTACCCCCCCACAGCCAGTTATCCTTGAAAAACTGCAAACGGGCCCCTCCCACACCCCCGCCATCTGATCCCCTCCTGCTGGGCCTGAGGCCCTCGTTGCCCCATTCTACTGCCAAACTCCATCTCTGGGTCAGTATATATCCTCTGAGCATACCCCCTTCCCCCCGACAGTGCTAGCTTCACATTAAATAGTGCTCCTGAAGGCTTTCTCTCCACCTCAAAGCCATTTATTTGGGATGGTCTTTCCTTCCTCTTTCTCCCTCTCCTGTCCACCTTTCTGTGTCTCTGTCCATTCCGTCCTCCATCCTGCCACCGTTCTCCCAGCCCTTGGGGTTCTGTCCTTGCCCTCCCCTACCCCGCACTGGATCTCCCCAGGTCTGCCCAACCACTCCCGCCCCTGTTGTTTGCCTCAGAACTAGAGGTTAGCTGAGCCCTGATGCTGGGGCTTCTGTGGGGTGGGCAGCGAGTAGGCAGATGGACAGAAGGACTACAGAGCCAACAGAAGGGTCTCTCGGGAGAGTGGCCAGAGAAGATGGGTTAACAAGTATTCGATCAGCCCATCCTGGCATAGAAATACTGCACCTGTATACATTACTCCCTCCTGAAGAGCCTATGGAGGGAACAATCTTTCATAAAGTGATTGAGGATGACCGATAGCCCCCCCCAGGGGGGGGGGGGCGGTCAATCCCCAGGGGGCACATGGGTATAATCCTATAGGCATAGGCCATTTCTTCTAAGCTCCTTTGTGTGTGGGGGGGGTGGGGGATCAAAGCTTGGGGTGGGGTTATTTTCCAGGCCCAGAATAGATTGGGAGAGGCCTCAGGCCTTGAATGCCATGAAAACTGGGAAAATCCCCCTTGAAAGCAGGCCAGTGAACATGGGCTGGCACTTCCCTCTGGCCACAAAGTAAAGTCAGGGGCCTAGGTTTTGTCCTTCCAAATTCCTTAGCTCATTTATTGTAGATAGCACTCCATCTCTCCAGATATGTTTCCTTGATCATCAGGGGGCCAAGGGGCACCATAAAAATCCGGGAGAGAAATTCAGCCACAGGGGAGGGTGAGCTGCAAGCTCAAGGCCCTAAAGAGCCGAAGAAATGGCAAGATGTTACCGTGCCCTCTCTCAGGAATCAGCAACTTCCAAGGTCAGCCGCAAATAGTCCTTGGGGCACGGCATGGGAAGTCAATTTGTATCCATTTGTCCATAACACTGATTGATCCCCTACTGTGCGCAGAGCCCTGTTGCCTCTTGCTGGGGCTGAGCAGGGTGGAGGGCATGGGAGGGGCTGGGGGAGCTACCTGAGTGAGAAAGGCCTGGATCCTACCCTTGACAGAGCTGATAGCTGGCGAGTTTTTGCAAAGAGATTTGCAGCCACCCAAGCCCCACGGAGTGCGGAGGGAGTGGGGTGTATCAGCCCATCATCTTGCCTTTCCTGTTGACCAGCGAACACGCCCTCAGGTGGCACTGCCCCCCTTCACGAGGTGTATGGACCAGCTCCTCCAAGAAGGTCCCGTGGGTCCCGGGCAGGGAAGGGCCCCACCCTCTCCTTTGCCTGTCCCCCAATCCCTTCTCCTTTCCTCTCACCCAGGTCTACTACATCAACTTCACCGACTTCGCCAGCTATGAGGTGGTGGTGGATGAGAAGCCCTTCCTGCAGTGTACCCGCAGCATTGAGACAGGCAAGACCAACTACAACACTTGTTACACCGCGGGGGTCTGCCTCCTCAAAGCCAGGCAGAAGATTGCCGTGAAGATGGTACATGCCGACATCTCCATCAATATGAGCAAGCACACCACCTTCTTTGGGGCCATCAGGCTGGGCGAGGCCCCTGCATCCTAGATTCCCCCCACTTTCTGCCCATGCTCCCGCCCCTGCCCCAGAGCTGGGAGCTGGGACTCCCAGAACCTCTCAGTGCTGCTGTGGAATGAGGTGTGATGGGTGTCCAGCCACAGAGATCGATAATCCAGGGCTATTTATTCCCCGGTGACTCCAGGATGATGAGGAGGCCCGCTTGACTTTCCAGAATGACCTTGAGTTCACAGGAGGGTTGATGGAGCCCCAGGGTTTGTAGGAAGCAGGACCTTCTTCCTTGGCTCCGTGTCAGCTGGCTTATGGCTCGACTCTTCAACCTCAAGGTCACTTTTGTCAGAGTGATTGTTTCTTGCACTAAGGTGGGGAGTCCAGGGCAGCAGGCAAGAGAAAGCAAAAGTGGACTCCAGACTGTGGGGGCAAGCCTCTGACCCTAAAGGGGCTGCTGTTCCTCTCTTGGGTAGGGCTGGGGGCAAGGGTGGGGCGGGAGGGGAGCAGTAAAGCCTAAGCAGATGGATGGGGAGGGGAAAGGCAGGCACTGGTGGCAGAGACCCAGGGAGAAACCTGCCAAGCCTCAGGGTCCAGGGGAACAGGGCAGGGGGGCTCTTCGCACTCTTCCCACTCAGGCTGTGAGCCAGCTCACAGCAACTTGCTGGGCTTTGGGGGACAGGAGGTTGGCAGGGAATGACCACACACTGCTGGGCGCCTGCACAAGAACCTGAAGGCAGACTTGGGGCCACGTGTCTTCCACTTTGTTTACAACCATGTTCCACACTCAGAAAAATCTCTGGGTTCCCTTCCAATTGCCCCCTTTCCCACCCGGACCAGAACTCCTGTCTTCTTTCTCCACAGAGCCTACCTCTGTCTAAGACAGGTGCCCCCCCTGGGACCTGTGCTTATGTGAGTCTGGGACACTCTTCCCATGACCTGGGCGCAAAGAGTCCTTGCCGTTTATTAAGCGACACAAATATTCATCTAGTCGAGTTGTGTCTGGGGGCAAAGGGTTGGACTGGGTGACCTCTGGGAATCCCTTCAAATTCAAATACTTAGGCAGCTTCCACGATAGCCTACAAAAATTCCCAAACCCCAGCCTGCCCCCCTAGGCATCAGCAAGGCAGAAATTTTCTGCCTGACCCCAAAAGGGCAACAAGTGGGTTTTTTTCTTCTCAAGGTTGCTGTGACCTAAGTGGCCATGAGCCTAGGTGCTATCCAAAAGGACAGCCACCAATGCCCTGCAGACCCACCTTTCCTCACTCTGGCTTCAGAAAGCCATAGCAGAATCACCAGAGATTCCAGGGCCGTTCACCTGAATCCAGGCTCAAGAGAAGCCAGCATCTAGGCATCAGGCAAGGCTCTGCCCTGTAGCCAGGTCCAAAGATCCCTTACCCACCCACCCACCCCTCACCCCAAGTTCCCCACTGGATCACATTGTAGGACCATTCAAGGGACTGATCTCTTACTGCCTGGGGCCAGCCTGGTTTCTGGATGCTGGGTCTAGCCCAAAACTAGGGAGGGCCAACGTTGTACAGTCTGCTACTTTTGCTCCTGAAACAAATTTCCTTTGGAGGAGAGAAGGGGAGAGGAGAGGAGAGGAGAGGAGAGGAGAGGAGAGGAGAGGAAAAGGGAGGGGATGGGAGGGGAAGGGAGGGGAGGGGAGAGGAAAGGAAGGGAGGGGAGATGAAAGGAAGGGAGGGGAGGGGAGGGGAGAGGAAAGGAAGGGAGGGGAGGGGAGGGAAGGGGAGGGGAGAAGGGACTTACCCTTCAGGCAGCTGAAATCCACCAAGAACTGGTACTCATTTCTCCACTGTACCTTCCCTTTCCAAACAGCCATAATGCTCACCCCATGGCAGGTCCAGACCAGAGTGGCAGGCTATGAACCAGGCTAAGGAACCTCTCCTTAAAGTCTGGAAAGTACTTTCTCATTATCTCCTTTGAGGATACTATGAATCCCATTGTGTAGACAGGGCCCAGAGAAGTGAAGTGCTTTTCCAGGATCCCCACCAGTTTAGGCCACAGCCCGGGGCTTCAGCCAGATCCACCTCCAAAGCTATTCCATTATGCAGCATTGTGTTGAACTTGCAGTCTAGAGAGAACCAACAAAAATGGGAATAAGGACCCCAGATCCTTCAGCATCCCAGAGAGAAACCCAGAGGTGCTTGTTTTCGTTCCTTGATGGTAATTCCTTGATGTTCTTTTGGTTCCTGGGGACTATGTGGCAAAAAGAGTAGGACATTTCTTTGGGAAACTGCCATCAGCCTTAGGGCTCTTGTGGTCAGAATTGTCTCGGCACCATGTCGAAGCAGCAGGCCTCCAGTACCCCCAGAACTATACCCCTCATGCTCTTCCACCCACCCATCGAGTACTGGAGCCCTTGCCATGGGCAAGGGCCTCCACTGGTTACCGTACAGACAGGTCACAGGAGCTGGTCCACTTCCCACAGCAACTCAGTGGCTCCTTGGTTCTTCCTAACATCCCACGGAGGGCTTTGTTCTACCAGGATGTCTCCTGATGGAGGAAAGGCCCCAGAGAGAGGCCTGGCTCTAAAGCCAGATGTGTGTGAGGAGAGGGGAGGAGGAGGCTTCCTAACTGTACCCCTAAAGGACATTCTGACTCCCATTCGGAGGTCCAGATAGGGAGGGGATTATAGGGGCTTTTGCATGGGACCCTGTCTTCATTGTGAACCCTCCAAAGGAACTAGAGGGGAGGAGGCGAGGACAGAAGCAATAGACTGCTGGGGACCCTATTGCAGTGAACTCATCATCAACGTGGTGAAACAATTCACTAGCAAGAGGATGTGGGAATAGATTTGCGGTCTGAAATGGCGCTGACGTGAGTTCGTCAGAGGGCCGGGGCTAGCACGGGGAATGGGATGAGGACATTTGTGAGCAAGCAGATGGCAGAGGTTTGAAGGAGAATTGTATGGCTGGGGCCTTGGCCAGCTGCTTGGGCTTCAGCGGCCAAGGCCGGCATAAAAGCCAGCCATTGGGGGCTGTTCACCTCCTGGTTCCTTGGGAAATGTCTTTGCCTTCTGGCCCCCCTCATCCATCCTGAGCCAGATTCCTTTCACCGAAGCAGGAAAGGGCTAAGAAGCCTGGAGGCGAGCAGAGGTTGGATCCCTGTGCAAGCATGTATGTTTTCTGTAACTTCCAGTGGATACGAATAGAGTCAGAGAACTTTAGAGCGAGACCCAGAGGCCCAGAGACGGAAGGTCATCTGGCCAAGGTGACCGAGCCCTGACCTGCAGACTCAAAAGAGTGAGGGGGTGGAGCAGCCTCTGTCCTGCACCGACCCCTCCCTTCTTCTACCCCCAGACTCAAGACTGGAAGTGCTGGGCCCCCTTCGGGAGCCCGGCCAGGCAGGGGAAAGAGTCCCCTTAGGGGCCATCAGAACTCTTTCCCCCTCCCCTCAGGCATTCTCCCTGCCGTGGTCTCTGTACTGGAAGGCTCTGGACTGGCCCAATACCAGGAAGTCCTAGGCTACCCAGGCTCTCCCTTGGCCTGGCCCGGAGGATCCCCTAGGCCGCAGTGAGCACAAAGAAGGAAGTGGATTGTTTCTTTTAACGCCCTTGGCGGCTCTCTCCAGGGGGACTCGGGGTATGTCATTTCTTGATTCAAAAAACTTCCACCTGGGGTGGGGGGGGGTGGGCTTTGTGGTGAGAATGGCCTGGAGCAGGCCCAGTGCTGCTTTGGGGGGTCAGCTTCCAGTGTGAGATACTATGTATATAAACTATATATAATGTATATAAACTGGGATGTAAGTTTGTGTAAATTAATGGTTCATTCTTGGCAAATAAAGCTTTTTTTTTTCTTTCGCCCCCCCCTGTTCTTGAAATCAACTTAAGTGCTTCCTGTGTGCCAGGGGCCGCTTTGCATGTGCTGCCACAGGTGAGCCTGGGGAAGGGCCAAGGCACCCATTTCAGAGGGGGCAACCAAAGGTTGTTGACGGTTCCTGTCAGAACCTCTCACATCCTCTGTGTGTCCCAGACCACACACGCCCCAATCCCTACCACCTGAGGTCTTTTCCCATCACCTCTTGTCCAGGAAGTTAGAGGTCCTGTGGGAAAGAATCGCTGTCCTGAGGGCAGAGACACAGCTTGGAGCTTCTCTCAGCCTGACACTATGGCATCTGTGACAGACACCTCAGGCCTGAGGCCCTCACAGCATGGGAAGATCCAGCCTCCAGCTCCCCATGAGGTAACCTCCCATTTGGCAGATGAGGAGACCAATGCTCGGGGATTTTCAGTAGCTCACCCAAGGTCACCCAACTGTAGAAAAGCGACTTTAACGTTCAAAGGGCTGCTGACCAGAGCTTACTCTGTACACTTTCTTTTAAGCATCGAGATGCCATGAAATTGAGGACAGAGTCTGCTCAAGGACAGGAAATGGGCAGAATGAGTGGAGGACCCTAATTTGGGGTAGCTGTCCCATTTCCAGAGGTCAATCACATTCAGTATCATTGGCCTTCCCAGTAGCCTCCGAGGTAAGCAGGGGAGGGAAGGATTCTGGGTTCTGTGTTACAGGTGAAGAAGCTCAGCCTCAGAGATGACAGATTGTCCTGTGTCACATGGCTTGAAGGCAGCTGAGCCTGAATTCCCAAGCGCACAGGCTCCTAAGGCACCCAGTCCTGCAGGAGCCTCGCTGCCAGGAGATGGGGCAACTTGAGAGCTAGAGAAAAAAGCCATGAACCCAGGGACCCTAGGCCCTTAAAACAGATGAGTTGGACCACAAGCAGATCAGAAGACGAGCTTTTTATTCTGTCCATTGTTCTCCTCAGTACTGATGCTGAGTGGCCGTGGGTGAGGCAGACTTCGGGCTACCTCTCAGCTAGGGCTTTCCCTGCCTTTGGGGGCTACTTCCCTGGTAGCCCCGAGGTGAAAGCAGAGAAGAGCTGGAAGGAGGCAAGAGATGAAGGAAGAAGCGGGGCCTAGAGAGTGGCCTCCTCATGTCAAGGACTTAGCCAGATCAGGAGGAGGAGGCCCACAGGTGACTTCTGTTCTCCTGTTCCACAGATTCGAAACCTTCCAGCCCAGGCCGAGAAGCTGCTGGGGGTGTCTGTCAAACAATCACCAGTTCCTGGTCCTCTGAGACGCCATACTTGGTCTTATGCTGGTCAAAGAGTTGGCGTAGGGCATCGATGTAGAGTGCATGGTATCTAGCCACAGTCTCATCGCTCGGATTCTCAATCTTGGGCAGTGGTAGTGGCTTCCCGACTGCCAGAGGAGACAAGAAGGGAAAAGCATCAGAACTGCTCACTCCTCAGACTGGGCCTCAGCCCGAGCCTCAGCCCTCAAACCCAGGTTCTCCCCGCCCTTCCCCCCACCATACCCCTCATCCCAGTCTACCTCCCTGTCTCTGGACACAGCCAGAGCTGAGGTGAAGCCCCGGAAGTGGATCCGATATCCTAGACATGGCTGCCAGTGGGCGGGCTCACTCACCAACGGTAGTCACAGGCCGGGCGAAGGGCAGTAAGTCCCAGGAGTTCTCCGTGAGGCCGCGCCCATAGAAAGCACAAGGGTAGATGTGTATCATACGCTGAACCCACTTCTGGAAGCGATTCACCAAGCCCCCAGGGGTGAAAACGTGCTGATTGTAGAGGTCTGTCTCCCCAAAGGCATAGGCAGGAATTAGAGGAACTCTGCGGAGGAAAGGCATATCCTTCCATGGCCAGATGCACTGACTGCTTGCGGTCCCCGGGTCTGCCTCTAGACTTCTCGGCCTGTAACTTAGGGGGGCCGTGGTCCAGACTAAGTGCGAGGGCCCCGCTGTCTACCCCAAGCTTCCCATGGGGGCAAAATAGCAGCAAGCTAAAGGAAGCAGGTCCCAGACCCTCCTGCGAAGCTACAGGTCTGAAACACTGGAAGAGAAGACCCAAGGGCCATTTCATTTGGCTTTCTTCCCTCTAACCCACACAGCAGTTTGGGTTCTCTCTGACATGAGCTTGTGGCCAGTGGCCTTTTATAGAGGGACCGGCCCAGATGAGAGCCTAGTGTGAGGGAGAAGAGCCAAGGGCTGGCCCTCCAGCCTTTCCTCATAAGCAGAAATGCCTCGAGGACCCAGCCCAGACTCTACTCCCACATAGAGGCTGCTTTCTACCTCCCTTTTTAAGTATCACTTCCTCAAAAATCCCTTACTCCTTCCATGCTGGGCTTTCAGAGCTGTCCTTACCCATGATGAAGGACCACACGTACAAAGCCAGTCTGTTTCTTCAAGAACAGGGTAGTAGAGCCCGGCAGGCTGTAGCTGCACTCTGCCAGGCCACCAACCACCACAATCAGCATGTTGCCTTTGCCTTTGTGTGTGAGCAGAAAGTCCATGGACGCTTGACTCACTGAGCAGGCCCCTGGAGGTGAGGGGCAGAAAACACTGAAAGCTCATTAGCCACTTCCTCAACCTCCTAACTTTCC